TGATAACAGTAAGGTCTAGACCTTACTTTGTAAAGTGTCCTAAGATGACTTTTGTTGTGATTTGGCGCTATACAAATAAAATTTTATTTGATTTGATTTGATTCCTGTGTCGCCTCTGCTTACCAGTTTCTCCCTTGTCACAGAGTGAGTTGTCTCCAACCCAGAGTCACGCTACTCACCTGTTTGTTCCTTGTCGCTACCTGGATTGTCTCAGTTTTGTGTCTGCTCAGCTCACCTGGTCTGTTTCCCTATCGCCAAATGTGTAACCTCCAGCCCAGTCTCAGTTCTCCTCACCTGTCTGTTATACTTCACTGTGTAAAGAGTCTTCCACTGTGTATTATTTGAGTTCTATTCTTGGATGTTTTCTGTTACCTTGTGTCTGGTTTAATTGTACTTTAGTCTGGTGATCAGAACTTTTTATTATTAAACCTTATTCTCAGTTACCTCCTTGTCTATGTCTGCATTCTGGCTGCATCCTGTAGTCAAGTCATGACTCAACAGTCTGTCCCAAATGGCATGATTGAATAACTGATTCTCACACCATTTTTGTAAAGACCTCTGTTCTTTTGGAAGTGTATGATAGTTTGTTAACTTGATGTTTATAGTTCATATGTTTAAGATCTCCACATTGGATGCACTAAAATATGAATGATGAGAATTCAATTTAAATTTCATATTTTTCTAGGGATTTTATGTTTAGTAGAATACAGGTGTACAAAATATGACATAAAGCAATAATCCTTATCCGTTCTCAGCCATGTGATTTTTAAGCTAAGAATAAAACATATTTTTGAGGTATCTTTCAGAGTGTGAAGGCCGTTTGTTATTTTGGTTTGATGAACTTTTGCTGAGCACACCTGAGCACAGTCTTTTTTGAATCATGGAGAAATAGAGAGAACTACCCCAGATGCTGCCATAGAGGAGCTGCTTGATACCATCATTTTATCTATGAGCTTGGCAGGACATGCTAACCTGGTAAAACCTGTTTACTACAGCCTTAAAAACCCTTATCAGCTTTTACTTATTTTTTCATCTGCAGATCAAAGTGACTGATTTAATGCAATAATAATTCTGAACAGATGTACAGCAGCTCTTTGTCCAGCCTTTTATATTTACCCCGATAATACAACTAAATAATACATTAACTTGCAAATGTCATATTTGAACATAGTTGTTATTCAATTATTGACAGTTGTCACTTCTAGTTACAAGTAAAGCGGAGTCACCTGTTGTCAGATGTATTCCGTGTGTGTGCGCATGTCAAATAACAGTTAACATTTCTTCTCAATCCTTGAGTAGGTGTAATAACATTGGACCAATGGGACCAATCTCACTTTAAACATAAACCAACTAAGAAGCCATTTGTCAACTCTATTTACCAAATCCTGCTGCCTCTCTGTGCCAGAAACTAAACAAGTCACAGATTGGAAACTGCAGCCAGTGAACAGGACAAACCCACTGCTTTGTTTTATTGTAACTAAGATTGAAAGTGAAATCATTTACACATTCTAAACAAAGGTTCTTTAAAAGGAGTTCTTGATCAAATATAATGAGTACAAAACCACATATTGACCATCCACAGCTTTTTTGTGACTGACCTGACACAGCATTCCACAGCCCGATAACAGTGGAGGACCTCACTGTGGAGTGTGCACAGCTGTAGGCATGACAGGAACACTTTCTCTGCATCTCCATACCAGCCCGCATCAGACAAAAATCCACCTAGAATCAAAAAGCATCAGATTACTCCAACTGTCTGCAAACCAGAGGGAAAGTAGCTGGTTGTGTTTTTATCATCTAAAATTTCATGGCGGCTAACTTATCTGTTAAAGGGAGAGAAACTCATTTCTAATACTCAGACTAGTAGCACAAGCACTGTGCAGTCATAAGAAGAAACACATGGCATGTTTCATTTAGATTAAAATACAGTGCTAAAAGATGTGCCACTGGCTCACCTTTTGAAGAGAGTACAGCGACTGCTATATCTTGCTGGCTAGCCAAGTCACTGCATATCCAATTGGCAATGGTCTCAGCATGTATACAAATGTGAACTGTTCAGAAGATAACATTAAAATCTTCCTGCTGGAAGGTAATGCTGGGAAGCTGAGCTCCTGCTTCTCAGCTATAGAAGGTGATGGTTATACACCAATCAACCATAACATTATGACCACTGACAGGTGAAGTCAATGACACTGAATATCTCTTGACTGGGCTCTGACAAGGGCCAAACTGTGATGGCTGACGACTGGGTCAGAGCATCTCCCAGAATGCAGGTCCTGTTAGGTGTTCCTGGTCTGCAGTGGCTAGTACCTACCAACAGTGGTCTAAGGAAGGACAAACAGTGAACCAGTGACAGGGTCATGGATGCCCAAAGGCTCACTGATGATGAGGTTGCCCTACTGTATATTAAACATTTAAACTTCATTAATCCTTTTCAAAAGATTCAATTTAGTGTGAACCAAAATGGTTGAAAATGAGAAACACTGCACCTTGGTCTCTATGAACAGAGACATTCAGCAGTTACAGTGGTGATATCACATCTGTTGAATATCTAAAAACTGTTTTTAACTTGTCCACACAACCTCAGTTCTCACTCCTTTAACACAGGTTTTTCACTGAATGGTCGACATATTTGTGCTCCTTCTGACAGTGTAACAGATTCACAGAAGATGTACGGTGGGCTGCAGAGTGACACGAGCATGGTGCACTGACTCCTGTGTACACAGTATTAGGCAAGTGGTCATAATGTTACGGCCGATCGGTTTATATACCATTTATAAAAGATAGGTAACACATCATCTGTGAGGTCCCATTAGCAAGTTAATCTCATTCACTGTTTTATATCAATGAAAATGTGCCACTGCTCTAATATTTACAAATTACACTGCATGGCATTTTTGAAAGGACATGCAGTATAGTGTTGATTCTACTTTATTGTGTATCCATAGCAGTAATAAATACAGTGCAATTAGAGAGTTTGTTTGCCTCAAGGCTGGCGCTTTTAATTCCTGAGTCAGAATTTTAAATCATTATAATGATAATGGATTTAGGCTCACTCAGTGCCAGTGAGTTTGTTCTATCTCTAATTATTGCTATCAGCTACCCCTATAATAACATCAGTGGGAGCAAGGAATGGCCTCCACATATTCACAAATTTTTCTCTGCACCTGTTTCCCATGCACGATCTCCAAGTGTCTGTGTCACACCTTCCCTCCCCTACCCCTCCATTTACCAAGCACAAAGCCAAACTGAATGGCTTTCTCCTTGACATGGGCATCAGACTCCGCGATGTATGAGCAGCGCCGACTGAAGGAGTTTGCCAGAACTGAGGCCACTTTCACACCATGGTCCATTAGGGCCTGGAAACAGTGGTGCAGGAGGTGTCTGCAGTGAGGAGGAAAGAAAAGGACCTTGTCAGTGAAGACCAGAACTCCAAGGTAATCATCAGTAGGGATTAATATATTGTTTGTTACATGTGGCAACACCTATCAGTGGTCTGACAGACTATCTGGCCAGTCAGTGAACTACATTACTGATGACTGCTGCCATTCTGCCTGCAATTCATATTAAGCCAATGCAGGCTGAAAGCAACTACATTCAGTACACCTGACAACATCATACAAAGAACATCAATAATGTATGTTAACATGAGCTGGACAGTAATCATCTGTTTAAGGGCCACAGGCTCAAAGACCATTTTGTAAGACAACTGATGGGTCAATAAGGATATATGTTTTTACCTTTTGTCTGAAGCCCGCAGTACTTTAGCAAACACCTCCAGCTCACAAAACTCTCCTCCAAGCTGGCAGAGTCGGCCCTGCTGGTAAAGCTGAGACACACACAGATAGTTGGAGGGATGAGGTGAGCACAACACTTTGTGTCAGTAATACATATTAACTCATTCTTTAGTGGTACAATGTTGAGTCTATAAGTAATAAGTGATCAGATTAATAAGGTGCAGGTGGGGTGCCACATGTCCCAACAATGTTGGACTTTTGTTTCTATTTTTCAGCCCATTTTCCATTATATGTGTGCTTTAAATCATGCCTTAGTAAAAGCTGTCTGCTGTTCATTAGTTTAACCAAAAACATTTGCTGATGTCTACCCAGGGAGCTAAATGTGCTGAGCTGGAAGTTGTTATATTCAGTGGGTTTCCACGGTGTGCTCTATTGAGAGGAGGCACTTCCAGTCTCAGCTGTTTCTCTCAACTGCAGTTGTTGGGTTAAGTCTCCTTTAATGTCAGAGTGAAGTGAGACAAGCCACAGAAAAATGGTTGGACAGTGAAATGTTTTATTTAGGTTATGTAGGCTTGTAGTTAAAAATGCAGGCTTGTAGTTACACTTTGCTCAAAAGCAGTTATTTTATCCTCACAGTTGTGCTCAACTAGGAGGATAATCACCTTTATTGGCCAAGTATGTTACACACAAGGAATTTATTTCCGGTACAGAACTGAGGCAGCTATCTGCGACGTCAACTCAATCAATGGCTCTAACCATCGGGGGCAACAGGGGGGTTCAGTGTCTCGCCCAAGTACACTTCGACATGTGGACTGCAAGCACTGAGATTCGAACCTTCAACCTTCCGGTTGGGAGACGGCTCCTCTACCCACCGCACTGTCGCACTTGACCTCCCCAACTACCTGTGAGTGTTGGTGGCAACAGAAAAAAATATTTTTCTAGTGTTGGAATGGCGTGGATAGAGCATCTCCCTAAGAAAGCTCTAATTTCGCCCCAGTACCACTCATACCACAACCCAGGAGCATGCCCAAGCCGACCCAAAATGCATCCGAGTCTTGCAGTTCCTCAAGCACAAAAAAGGAAAATGAAAGGCCATACAGGTGTACTGTATATTTTTATTTAATTAGGTCCATTGATTTGTTGAATTTTACATATGCCTTTTTGTGTTATATTCCTTATTACACAGGCCTAACTGTAATTTGAAATTATTTCCATTTGGAAAAAAGTAGTCATTGTTCCTTAGTTCTTTGGTATGTAAGGCTATGGTTTAAGCTAACAGTAAACTACATGCAGTTTTTTTCCCCCTGTTTTGGAGTGGGGGGGGGGGTAATTGGAGTTGAGCGGGATGTAATATGAGTTGAGCGCTGAGCGATAATGAGTGGCATGGCCTGGCGCAGCTTTCAGTGGGGGAATGGAGTGGGCGAACAGCTCTGTGAGTGAGGAGCGGAAATTCTCACCGCTCCACTCTGCTCATATGCTCTGGTGCATGCGCATTTTGGGATATCTGTACTTGGAAATGTTCCACATGCGCTCTAGAAAACATAGTGGTAAACTCCTAACATCAAGAGACACTTGTTTAGTTTGTTGCATTTATCTGAACAACAGAGGTGTAACAATATAACCAGCTCATGATTCAGTTTGATACATGGCTTACTGTACGACACACTTACGGTAGCACTGAGAATGAAAACTTGTGTCATAGTTATTTCTTCTTAGGTATGCAAATTCACAAAAACAGTTTTCAAACATTTTGTTTCTTATTCAAACATTTCCCTTATTCTGTAGATTAGAGTGTGACTAATGCAATGTTGGGCTAATAGATAGTGTAGCTAACCCCAGGGTCAACAACAGATTGGTCAAAGAAACAGAGCTGACCTATTGCCCCCTCTTGCTTTAAAATAAAAAAAATTACATGGGAGTCATGACTTGATACGCCAATCCATTTTTCAGTTTCAGGATGCATACTGTCACAGTTTTAAACCACTATCCAGTAAAATCTTGGATTGTGAGTATAATTCGTTCCGGCAACGTGCTTGTAATCCAAAGTACTCGTATATCAAAGCAAATTTCCCCATAAGAAGTAAAAATAAAACAAATTAACCTGCACTTTGCCTTTGAAAAGAATCGTGGCTGGCGTGAGGGGCCATTGTTGCAGTACAGATGTTGACTATACGAGTGAGGCACGAGAGCCATCGGCTCAGTTGTGACATGACGCTCAGCAGACAAAGCGTGCGTACTACTCATATTGCAAGACCTTGCTCGTTTATCAAATTCAAATTTTACTGTATACTGTTCCATGATGCATTGTTATGCCCCTACTGAACAACATTTTAAAAGGAAAACAATGTACCACTGCTTAACCAGAATAAAACCAAGGATGGGAAACGTACAGTACATACATGTGGTGCATGAAACAAGTGTCCAGTTTACTTTCTGATGCATGTGCAGTTAGCATACTTGCAATGTGGACAATGCAAGTGGCCTCCAATTTTGAGCTGCACAGGGTTCAATGTCAACACACAGGCCTGCCCAGACCCTCACACACTTGGGCAGATGACAATATTTACATCCCATGGACCCTTACCTCAAGTGCAACATGGCAGTACAGTGTACTTAGTACTATGCCAGCTGGTGACAAATTTATGCACCATCTTTAAGAATTTACATAACACTTTTCAAATTACTTTTTTGGTTTTGTCATTAGTAAATACTTAATTAATAAGTAATTAATACATTTTTACATTTACTGGGAATGCAATACTCCTGCCCCCGCGACCCGGTTCCAGATAAGCGGAAGAAGCTTGATGGAAGGATGGATGGATGGGAATACAATATTGTCTTGCTCATCAAAAAACTACACTCTTTGTAAAGAATTCCTCAGTGCTTATGAACATCTACAAATAAATCACTAATGACCATAGAGGACACAAAGTTAAACCCTGGGAATCTGCACATTGTAGCACTCTGAAGAGCATTTACAGGTTCTACAGTGGTGTGAAAAAGTGTTTGCCCCCTTACTGATTTCTTATCTTTTTGCATGTTTGTCACACTGTAATGTTTCAGATCGTCAAACAAATTTATATATTAGTCAAAGATAACACAAGTAAACACATCATGCAGTTTTTAAATGAAGGTTTTTATTATTAAGGGAAAACAAAATCCAAAACTATATAGCCCTGGGTGAACAAGTGTTTGCCCCCCTGTCAAAACACTGGTTTATCGCACCTGAGTTCAATTTCTATAGCCACACCCAGGCCTGATTACTGCCACACCTGTTCGCAATCAAGAAATCACTTAAATAGGACCTGCCTGACAAAGTGAAGTAGACCAAAAGATCCTCAAAAGCTAGACAGCATGCCGAGATCCAAAGAAATTCAAAAACAAATGAGAAAGAGAATAATGAAGCTCTATCAGTCCGGAAAAGGTTATAAAGCCATTTCTAAAGCTTTGGGACTGCAGCAAACCACAGTGAGAGCCATTATCCACAAATGGCGAAAACATGGAACAGTGGAGAACCTTCCCAGGAGTGGCCGGCCAACCAAAATTACCCCAAGAGCGCAGCGACAACTCATCCAAGAGGTCACAAAAGACCCCACAACAACATCCAAAGAACTGCAGGCCTCACTTGCCTCAGTTAAGGTGAGTGTTCATGACTCCACCATAAGAAAGAGACTGGGCAAAAATGGTTTGCATGGCAGAGTTCCAAGACGAAAACCACTGCTGAGCAAAAAGAACATAAAGGCTCGTCTCAGTTTTGCCAGAAAACATCTTGATGATCCCCAAGACTTTTGGGATAATACTCTGTGGACAGACGAGACAAAAGTTGAACTTTTTGGAAGGTGTGTGTCCCATTATGTGTGGCGTAAAAGTAACACCGCATTTCAGAAAAAGAACATCATACCAACAGTAAAATATGGTGGTGGTAGTGTGATGGTCTGGGGCTGTTTTGCTGCTTCAGGCCCTGGAAGACTTGCTGTGATAAATGGAACCATGAATTCTGCTGTGTACCAAAATATCCTGAAGGAGAATGTCCGGCCATCCGTTTGTGACCTCAAGCTGAAGCGAACTTGGGTTCTGCAGCAGGACAATGATCCAAAGCACACCAGCAAGTCCACTTCTGAATGGCTGAAGAAAAACAAAATGAAGACTTTGGAGTGGCCTAGTCAAAGTCCTGACCTGAATCCAATTGAGATGCTGTGGCATGACCTTAAAAAGGCAGTTCATGCCCGAAAACCCTCCAATGTGGCTGACTTACAACAATTCTGCAAAGATGAGTGGGCCAAAATTCCTCCACAGCGCTGTAAAAGACTCATGGCAAGTTATCGAAAACGCTTGATTGCAGTTGTTGCTGCTAAGGGTGGCCCAACCAGTTATTAGGTTTAGGGGGCAAACACTTATTCACACAGGGCTTTGTAGTTTTGGATTTTGTTTTCCCTTAATAATAAAAACCTTCATTTAAAAACTGCATGATGTGTTTACTTGTGTTATCTTTGACTAATATATAAATTTGTTTGACGATCTGAAACATTACAGTGTGACAAACATGCAAAAAGATAAGAAATCAGTAAGGGGGCAAACACTTTTTCACACCACTGTATTTTCATTTGCTTACAGATCACTTACAAATCATAATCAGTACTTTGAGGTCTACACTGACTGGTATACAAGTACTTTGGATTTTGGGATAATATTGTGTTTCATCATTTGGCTGTCCCTGGTAGGCTAGTGGTTAAGGCACAGCGCTCTCGCTGCTGCGGCCCGGGTTCGAGCCAGCATTGCAATCGGCGTAAAACACGTGCCAAATGTCAACATGTGAGTGTGAAGTAACTTTGCTTACTAGAGCCAACAGTCTCAATGGATCACATTTACTGAAAAGAAAAGGTATTTTAACAATTGTCGTGCAGAGACTAACAGCTGCTAGTGACAATGTCACTCTGTTATTAATTATTAAATATTTGGCATGTCTTGGGTGCAGAACAGGGGCTTTTGAAAAGGTCCTAAAAGTGTATTTCATATATTCATGGATTATTATACTTATGTTTATGGTGTCTTCAGACCACCATTTTTTCATTTCTAAATAGCTATATATAGATTTGTAATCTTGTCTGACACAGAACTGTATTTAGACCATTGTGTAAAAATACTCTGAGGCAAACTACTCTTTACATCAATAATACAATTTACACACTTTTTAATTTCACGGTTCATAACAATAATGCGAAAACAATAGTGTGTCTGGTTAAGTGGAAATGTCCATCCAAGGCTACATCATAAACAAGCATTTACACTGTCTGTGCACATCAGGCCTGCACCAGCCCAAGGGTATATATAGTCTTACACAGCCAGGTACTGTGTTCTTGTGGTTGAAGGAACAGATGCTACGTCTCCTGATCCCTGTATTTGTCCTACTTAGGGTAAAAAAAAAAAACATCACTGTCTTTACATCTACATTCAAAGCACTTTTAATTTAATTAAATGTCTTTGCATCAAAATAATTGTTTTTCGGTTTCAATAGCTTGCCATTTTGTGTTTGCTGTCTACAGCAACTGACAGCTGACATGTCTGCCTGTAAACATACTTTTAAAAAAGTGGGTCACAACTAATTATTCACAACAAAAAAGCAGGCATTTATACGGTAAATGATCTAAATGGTTACAGGATCAATGTCCTTTATGGCTTTGAATTCAACAAACTTTCATTATATAAATACACATACCACTAGCTATACTGAATCGTGTAAAATGTAAGGCGGAGTAATATAACGGTTAGCTTAGCTAACTTAACGTTAGACAACACGATACAATTTTTCATTTTCAGAAGCAATAGAAAGGTTTTCGACATTTAACGTTATTGGTTAGTAGCGTTAGCTAGCAGTTAACGTTAGCTGCAATGTTAGTAACTCATACAGTCTGGCGGCTGTCACATACACTTGAACAACTTGACCGCCAAATCTTACCTTATAATAGACATCGAACTGTATATTTTCTGGGAGAGAGCGTATGTCCTTTCTTGATCGGCTGTAGTTA